ACACGTCCTTCTCAATCACACTCCAAATAGGATTTGGGAGTATTTCTTGTGGCCTCCAGCTTGTTCTTCGTGAATTATTTCATCTTTCAGTGTGCAGGAGTGAAGAAGATTTCTGTGGTAGTTTGGGAGCTCGTGCTCGTACCAGGGTTAATTAAAAACCTGGGCAAAACCTCTGTGTTGTAAGAATGTGAGAAGAGCAGAGTTGGGAGGAATAAGAGGTGACAGGGAAAGGTTATGTAAAACAGCTTGAAAAGAGCAAATCAGGGTGGGTAATTAGCAGGGGTTGTAGTACAAGTGGTTTGAAATTCCAAGGAAAATACCTGATGTAATTGAGCACTTCCTTAATTAATCCCTGCCAGCACTTCTCATTAAGGCTGAGGAGCTGGGAGGCTGCAGGAGAGGATGGAGAGGGCTGGGGGAGACAGCAAAGACTGGGAATGATGTTAGAGAAAAACAAACACCAGGGAAACATCAGGGGCCTTCAGTTGATAAATCACCCAGGGTGAGGTTATTCCTGAATAATTCATTGGGAGTTTTTTTGTAACATGTTGGGACAGAAGATTGAATTACTCCAAGGTACATCCTAGGATCCTACACAGCACCTGCTCCAGCTGATTGTGCTTAGCCCTGGCTAATAGATGTTGTCAGATCTGTTTGATCCTGTTAAATTCAATAGTTTCAGGTATCTTTTTAATACTCTATTTAATTTATATTTATATTTATATTTAATACTCCAGGTGGTTTTGTTCAAGAGCAGAAATTGGTAATAACAATTTTCCTCCGCTTCTTTCTTTGCTCTTCTCTGATCTTCTCCAGGCAGGTGTTGTTCCTAAGCAAACCTGACACACTTGCGTGGAATTTTGGGCTTCCTGGAGCTGACTGGAGTAAAAGCAGAGCTCCCACATCCTTCCTGATTCCTTTCCTCCTCACAAAACCTGCATTTATCATTTGTTACCTCAGGGACCAGGGATTGAGCAGCAGCCCAAACATTCCAGGCATGGAATGGCCTTGGACACTTCCAGGGATCCAGGAGCAGCCTCAGCTGCTCTGGGAAATCCATTCCAGGGCCTGCCCACCCTCCCAGGGAACAATTCCTTCCCAAAATCCCATCTAACCCCATCCTCTGGCACTGGGAGGTTTTCTCTGTCTCTGCCTTTAATTTATCCTCAGCCAAATTAAAATTACTCCTTCCCTACTGCCAAAACCTCCCTGGGGAAAAATGGGAAGGGACCTCCTGGAAATTGGGATAGCAGGATGGAGTCATCCTTGTCCCAGTGCTCGTGTTAGAAACTTGGGGCACAAACATCTGGAAATAAAGGAATTTATTCCCGCTCCGGCCCTTGGATGCATCCTGGCCATCACTCCATGCTGTATTCTGGAGTCTGCTGGAGCCTCCCTCGTGATTCCCGGAGTGTTTGGTGGGATAAAGCAATTCCATGTGCTCCTCCTGTTCACTTAAATGTGCTTTTAGCATCATTTCATACCTGAAACAGGAGGGACCAGAAACAGCTGGAAAGGGCTGTGTTTTCCCCCCATGGTAATTTACACAATATTCCCTGCAAAACCCAACCCAGGTGGGAGCATGGTTAAATAGGAGTGGAAATTTGATGCTTTTTCTGCCAAAAAAAAGCCCTGAGGACACACAGTTGCAGCTGTTTCTTTGCCTGAGGGCAGATAAACAAACAATTTTTGGGATAAAATAGCCCAAAAGCCAAAGTGAGCTGATGAATTCTAGCTTGGGGTGCAAAGGAATAATAATTTTTAGGTCTGGTAACGCTGCCAGCAGCACTTGGGCTGAGGATGATACACTTGGTGATCTTTGAAAAAACTTGGGAAGGCTTCAATGAGCATATAAAAAACTTGGGAAGATGCTTAAAGAATGCAGGGCCATGTGAATATTGCATTTCATTTGGGAAATAATGGCCCTGCTGGCTTCTCTGATTTCAAGGATTTTTAAATATCTGGGACTTCTCCACCTATCTAACATAAAATATATAATATTAAATAATATCAACAGCATTTAGGTTGCTCTTCTGGAAATATTTAACTTAAAACTTTGCATTTCCCCCCTTATTTCACTGCCTCTGCATGTGAGAAAGGGAAAAGCAACTGATGATCTTGTCGAGCCAGTGGGTCCACAAGAAATGAAGAAAAACAGCCCAAATTTGGTCCTTTGGCAGGCTGGGGATGTGATGGAAGTATTGAAACTAATGAGAATTAAGGCCTGGAGAGGTTAAATAATGAATAATCCCTGATATTTAGAGATTTAGGGCTGTTCAGCATGGAGAAGAGAAAGCTCTGGACATGAGTGAACCAGCAGGGACATATCCCAGGCTTTGGGCTGGATCTGCACCCCTCTCTTCACCCCTTTCAATTGGGATATATTTTCATGGGTGCCCAGGTAAATAAATAGGAAGAAAAGTTTGGAAATAGTTCTTTTTGGAAAAGAAGTTTGAAATTTTTTATTGAGCTTTTAAATTTGCTTTAATCAGGCATGTTGGTGGCGAGAGGGGTTTGATTAATTTACTGAAATCATTGATTTAGATAATTTCAGTCAGCTTCAATCAGAAATTAGGGTTTAACCATGACAAGAATTTCAAATTTAAACTTTAATGATAACATCTCCAACCCCACCCAGTTCTGACCCAGGGAATCCTGATACTTTTGCCCCAGCCCTTCCTTGTTTCTCCAGCAGCATTTGCTTTGTCTTTAGCATTGAAACACAGCAGAAATCTGTCAGAAATCACAATTCCCATCAATCTGTTGTTTCAACGTGCAGTTTAAATATTCTACAGTGCCCAGTCCCCTCACCTGGAGAGCTCCTACAGCTGCAGCCATATAGAAATCACAGGTTTGGGCACCGTGCCCAAACTCCTGGGGGTTTTTGGATGAGCAGAGATTTTGTTGTGTGCTGGTCCAAAGACCAAACAGAGCCCCAGCTATGGCATTTTGCTGGGAAAAAAAGTGTAAAAGAGGCAATAAATTGTAGCAAAACAGCTCTGATTGCAGGATGATGTTTCAGCTTATTGAGAAAGGAAGCTCCTGTTCCATCTGCTTCCATCATTTTGTTTCTTATATTCCTTCCTGGCTGTGCCTCCTGCAGTCAAGAAATGGGATATTTTATATTTTGTGTTTTACTTCCAGCATCCAACACAGGCTCTGTGGAGAGGGATGGGCCAGGAAATCTCTCTTTGTGTCTGTTCTAATTCCCAGTGGATGTTGAATTTGTGGGACATATCCCAAAGATATATTTTTCATCTCAGGGTGCTCCTAAATAGGTAACTTTGAAGACTTTAAAGGCATCAAATCCCACAGAATTCCTCCTGTTTCTTCAGCCTGACAGGGATTCCAGCACAACAGGAGATGCTGCTCATGCTGATTCTAAGGGTCCTACTGACATTTAAATCTCTACTCTGATTAGCCTTTAGTAAAGCAGCTGTTTGTCATTAAGGCAGGAGTAACAAGAATATAAGGCGTGATTAGTGGTTTAATTAATACAGAAGTGCATTGTCTGCATTTCTCTGATTTCCTGGGCTCTGTGGACCTTGAGGGGGGGCTGGTGTGTGAATTTATTGAAATATATAGGATATAACATATTGGAGATAAATATATATGTATGTAATATATATAAATACATATCTAAATAAAGATATATATAGATATATATTCTATATATAGGATATCCTAAATATATAGGATAGAACAGTGTGTTATGGATGTAAAATGAGAGAGTAGCACCTCTCCAGAATTCCTGATGGGGTGGGCAGGCTCTGCTGCCAGGGAACAGGGACAGGACAAGGGGAAACGGCCTCAAGCTGTGCCAGGGGAGGCTCAGCTTGGACAGCAGCAGGAATTTCTCCATGGAAAGGGTGCTCAGGCCTTGGCAGGGGTTGCCCAGGGAGCTTTGGAGTGCCCATCCCTGGAGGTGTGGCTTTGATTATAAAATTAAAAATGCTTCTCCAAGAGAAGCTTCTGTGTGGAAAACCAGAAGAGGCTTTAAGGGCTGTTCTGCTGTGCAATTCAAGAAGAAATCTTTGAGTTTGCACTTTGAAGGTTTTCTATCTTGCAAATGCAGTTAGGGATAAAAACTCATTAGGGAGGAGGTTTGGGAACTGAAGGACCAGCAAATCAAAGCCCATTCATTTAGTGGATTTTATCAGTGAGAGTATTTGTAAATATTTTGCTGAAAGTCTCTTTGCTTCGTGCTGTTTCCCGCAGTCAAATGGGGGTATGGGGATGGAATTGATTGCATTTACTGTCTGAAAAAAAGAAATTAATACGAGTGTAGAGGTCTCTGGAATAGTTTTAATCAAGCTGTTTCTCTAAGGAGAAGCCCTATTATAAACTGGATATACTCAAGCATTTGTGGTTAATGCAAATGTCTAAGCCACAGCTGGGACGAAAACTGGACCTTTTGGGTTTCTGCTCTCCATGCACTGCTTTTCCCTTTTCTTTTACCATGGAATTTTGCCCCTGGAGAATAGGATGTGATGTTTGGTGAGTGGCTCAGAAGCACTGGAATTCAGCAGGGACCCAAAAAGTAAAGTAAAAGAATGGCTCAAAACCTCCCCAGCTGGAAGATGTTCAATTACCAGAGTGTAACAGGGCTTGGGTCTGGAGATTTCCTTCAGGAATCTGGGAGCAGGATAAAACCTCAATAGATTTTGCACTAAAATAATGGATAATATACTAAAACTGTCCCAAAATCACTCAGGTTGTGATGAACTGACCCCAAATCCTTGCTCACCTTTGGCCTTCCTAGATTTCTCCTCCTCTCACAGCTGCTTTCAGGCCACGTTTCCAAAACCCCACATCCACCTTCAGGATTTTCCCAGTCCTTTCAGTGCATGCTTTCATGTCCAGCAGCTGAATTTCCTGGTTTGCAGTGCTTCCCCCTTCCCATGCTTCCTCACCAATGACATCGTTTTCCTCTGCAGTTCACAACAGGAATTTGGACATTTTTTGCTAATCACGTTTTCCCCTTGTCTTGTTTTTTCCAGCTCTCGTAAATGTGAAACTTTGGGCTATTGATCGGCAATGTTTTCAAACAATAATGATGAGGACTGGCCTCATCAAGCATACTGAGTATATGGAATTTTTGAAAAGGTATGGCACTTGTTTATTTATCCAAAAATCCCATAAAACTGCCGTCCTCTCTTGCCTTTTTTTTTTTTCTTTTTGTGAGTGCAGTATTTGATTTGTTTCCTTCTCATCTTTTGGTTTTAATGATTATTAGTATGATGATGATGATGATTTTTATTTGCTGTTTGCCCATCCTCCTGAGAGGAGGGGGAGCTTTGCTGTGGGGGAAGTTTCATTCCTGTTGTGAGTTATTCATTGGCAAAGAGTCCCAGAGCTGAGGGGTGAGAGACAAGCTTTCATATGAGTCATTCAAAGTGTGTCAGAAAAGACACTATTTTACAAAAAAACACCCTTTCAAAAAAAAATCTGGGGTTTAAACTGGTTTAGATCCATTCAGGGCATGTTCTTCTGCTTCTGGAAGTAAAATGGGAGTTTTCAGGAAAGCAGATTTTTAGGTTGCTATAAAATGCAGCTTGGATGAGTAACATAAACATAAAGACAGAAAAATTAGTTTTTCACTCATTCAATTTGATTTTCCCAAAGATTTCTTCAGAGATTTAAGGTTTGGAGAGGACAATAATGAATAATTCTGGTTATTTGGAGAGCTGGGTGTGTTCAGCAGGAGAGGAGAAGGCTCCAGGGAGAGCTCAGAGCCTAAAGGGGCTCCAGGAGAGCTGGAGAGGGACTGGGGACAAGGGATGGAGGGACAGGACACAGGGAATGGCTCCCACTGCCAGAGGGCAGGGCTGGATGGGATATTGGGAATTAGGAATTGTTCCCTGGCAGGGTGGGCAGGCCCTGGCACAGGGTGCCCAGAGCAGCTGGAGCTGCCCCTGGATCCCTGGCAGTGCCCAAAGCCAGGCAGGACAGGGCATGGAGCAGCCTGGGACAGTGGAAGGTGTCCCTGCCATGGCAGGGATGGGCTTTAGGGTTCCTTCCCATCCAAACATTCCATGATTTCATGAAATGCAGTGCCACAGTGTAAGGAACAGATTGTGTTTCATGTCACCAAAATGATCCCAAAGGGAAGGAAATGTCAGGAATTGTAGGGAAGGGGAGGCCCAGGCCACTGTGAACCCTTCAGCCATGCCAGTGCTACTCAGACATTACTAAGCTGTTACTACACCAGGCTTGTCCCACTTGGTATTGGAGAAGAAAGTGACTTAGGGTAAAGGAAATAGAAATAACAACAACAATCATATAATTATTAATAACGATTAATAATTCCATTATTCATAAAATATTAGATTATACAAGTAGAAATTATTTTAAAATGTAGATTATATACCCTGTATAATAGAAATATATGTATAAAATATTACATCTATGTGATTCATAGGATCTTTTAGGTTGGAAAAACCCTCTATAAGTTCACTGAGTCCAGCCATTCCCCCAGCACTGCCAAGGCCACCACTGACCATGTCCCCAAGTGCCACATCCACCTGGCTTTAAATCCCTGCCAGGAATGGGGACTCCACCACTCCCTGGGCAGTGTTGCCATTGCCTGACCACCCTTTCCAGGGGGTGAGCAGCCTGATCTGCAGAGGAACCAGGAGGGTGATCCCATGGGAATGATGCTCTGGGAGGAGGGTGGCTCATCCCAGAACAGCTCCAGAGCCAGAGCCAGGAAATGAATGCAAGCTGATATTTGATCTTCTCCTTATGGGCTGGAATTCCACTGGGCTCATTGCAGGTAGGAATGGAAACACTCCTGGGAAAGAATGAAACTCAGGTACGTGAGGTGAGGGATTCCCTGGAGAGGTTTGGGAGCTCCACGGGAATGTCCCACAGCTGGAAAAGCCTGGCTGAGCTTTTTCCAGCTGTTGATGGTTATCAACAACCCAGCTCAGGAGAGGAAACAGAACCTGCTGCTGTGTTTTAGGGGTTGAAAACTATCCCAGCATTAAAAAGCCTTTCAAGAAACCTGGGAATGGCTGTGGGATCAGCTCTGGGGTGGGAGCTGCTGGAGCAGGTCCCATGCTCACATTAAGCTGTTAAGCTTTGAGCTTTAATAGAGATTTTCCAGAAGATTGTCAAGATTAATTTGGATTCAGGTCCTGCAGAGCCTGCCCAGCTTTAATTTTAAAGCAAATAATGTGAGGAGGAAACGAAGGAGTATTTCCTCACTCTGGCTGTGTTTCTTGAACACAATCTGTGGCTCATTAGAAAGGTCTAAGGCAAGTAAATAAATATTTTTTAAAAATATTACAGTTTCAATTTAGGAAAAGGATTTCTCCCACTTGGAACGCCTGTAGGAAGGTCCTTAAAAAAATGTTACTTCCCATTGGGCCTTCCACTTGGGCTCTGGGCATCTTTAGCTGTCTCAAGCTCAGTTTAAATCCCACATGGAACATGAAACGCTCATTTTTAGATCCCATTTGTTACATTAAATATTCATTTTAAAATCCCATTTGCTACATTAAATGCTTATTTTTAAACATGCTTTCCTTCAAAATCTTTCTTCTGAAAAGGGGGATAAATCCTGAAAAGAAGTTGATTGTTGACTTTATTCTTTGCTTTTAGGGGGTTTGGGGCTTTTTTTTTTCCTTTCCTGTATTAATGCGTGAACGCAAACACTCTTGTTAAGAAATAAATAGAATAAAAAATAAGGGTTTGAATGGTGACTGCCCACAGAAAAGTCAATGAGGTTGGACAGGATTTTTTCCTGCTGATATTAATCTAAAAAGTCCCTCTCTAATTATGCCATTATCCCAATAACAGAATTATCACTCTCTCCAACAACAGATTTTCACGTGGGAGCAAAGCACAGCAGAAATTAAACTTCTGGGGGTGAAATGAGGCTGTTCATTTAGTTTTTGTTTTTTTTTTTTTTTTTTAATTTTCATTTATCCTGCTGAAAATAAGTGCAGCTGGATTTCCAGGTGTCCCTGGGAATGTCACCCCAATGGCATTGTGAGTTTTTCCCAGCAGGAGCATCCCGCTGGCACAGGGCAGCTGCTGCTCCTTAGGGCCACCCTTGAGTGTCAATCCTTTCTTCTGAAAGCCAGGAGAAAACCATAAAGCCAGGAAAAATCCATTTCCTGGGTAAGAAATCCAGGAGTGCCTTCCCAGCATATCCTGGGCTGGAATGCTGTATCCCACCTTGCTCCAAGGAGTCGTGCACTAAGAAAAGTTGGCATAACTCCCCTGACTGATTTAAAATAACTCTTCTGGAGCAAGCAGCAAGTGGATAACCTTTTTCTGAGGAGTATAATTTTTCTGAGGAACCAGTCCATGCCTCCCTTCCCAAAATCAGCAGATGATCCTTGATGGAATCAAAAGTCACCCTAATTCTGTGGCAGCACCTGCTCTGAGGAAAGGCTGGAAAAGCCAGCTGGCTTTTGATCCCTGTGGGTACCTGTGTCTGGGTTTGAAAGCCAGGTGTCTGCCAAGGAAGGCAGGAGCCTCTCTTGAAATAGAAAATGTCAATCTCCTCCCTCCAAATTATTGTAATTTGAAATTAAGGGGCTCTTGGGTAAAGATATGGGAATAGGAATAGCAGTTCTTTACTAGGAAAATTAAAAATACAAATGCAATAGTACAAAAAAAAAAAAAAAGAAAAAGTAAACAAACACTGACAGAGTGAGAATAGGACCTGTGAGTCAGGGAGGTGGCAGCAGCCCCATCCCAGGGTGGCTCAGCCCTCCTGCAGTGCCAGCTGTGCTTCTGCTGGAGCAGGATCCTGCACAAGGGGGGAGTTTTCCTCTGGAGCTCCAGGGCTGGGGGAGATGGGCCTGGGCTCCCTCTGGGAATGCAGTGGGAAGAAAGCTGCTCCTCTGGGAATGCAGTGGGGAAGAAAGCTGCTCCTCTGGGAATGCAGTGGGCAAAGGCTGCTGTGCTGTTCCAGGTCAGATTATATCCAGGTAGGAATTCTTGGCTCCTCCCCTGGGCGGAGCATCTCCCCATGGGATGATGGAATTTTCTCAGCCATGCAGGGACACTCACTGGCCCATGAACAGAAGAGATCTCCTGGAGGAGGTCTCTTCCTGGTTGTGGAAGAGAGAAAAAAAACCAAACCTGCCCCACCTGATTTTAACACCTGCCCGTGAACAGAAGAGATCTCCTGGAGTTATGAGGGATGAGGCATAGAAAATATAAATAACACCACCCCACCTGGTAATAGAATACAAACTTTTGGTCACACCTTACATTGCAACCTAAAACAACCTGCAAGATGGATCAGAGCAGTGACTCCCTTCGAAACTCAGATTTTTTGGTAGCTCGATATGTGACTAAATCAATGTTAGGTCAAGGTAGATCATAGAGCAACCAGCAGTGAAAAGTGAAATGTAATTTAGTGTTGTAGATTTAGTAACTCCTGATGGTACAGGAGGTTTTTGTTGAATTCATCTGTAGTTTTTAGCCCATATTGGGCTTTTTGTGTGTAATTGAATATATTAGTCCTTCCTCAAGTGCAGTGAGGTCGCGGCTGTGCTAAATCCCTCTGTGCCTCTCACTGCAATAGTCACTGTTCCAGGCTGCCAATGATTTCCTTCTCAAGCCAGTCCTAAAAATCATTCAGTTTAATTAAAATCAGAATATTTCAGTTAAGGAAACTACTATTTACCAAATAAATTTGTCGAGGGAATAAAAGATGGGGGGCGGGGGGGGGAACCTTGTGCTGTGCTCCTGCTAAAAATAAAAGTTTTAAGACCAGAACACCTTGAAAGACTAAATAATGCAATTTTTTTTTATTCCCAAAAAAGGCTTCATAAATGAAAAAAGCTTCCTTCAGTTAGAAGAGGCTGCAGGTTCTGGTCTGTGTTGCAAATTTGAATTCCTCCAAGGCCTTGGAAGCAGCCAGGAGAGCTGGTGAGGGATGTTTGGTGTCATCTTGGGGGCAGGATCGAGTTTTTGGGGTGGATACTGGCAGGAAGGTCCCACTTACACACACAGCCTTGAATCCCAGGAATGAAAAAATTCCTTGGGCAGGCAGGGAAAGGATTCCAGGGAGGCAGGATGTGAGAAGCTGCAGAGGGTGGGGATACCCACAGGACCTCTCTGGATATCCTGGGGTCATCCAT